CCCACGGGATGCAAAACCGGGAGGAGTCACGTGAATTTCCAATGATGTGCACTTCGTTGCACCCCCCCCCCCCTCTCAAAAATGAATGAATAAAAAATTGTATTTTATTAATATATTTTGAAAATTGGTACGTTTGTTATTGATGAAGGAGATTTGTCCTAAAGCATTCATTTTTTACTAATGCAATCATTTTTATTATTCAATTTTGAATTTTGATAATATTTAATTCTCGGAGTTAAAATGAAATCATGGCTTGATTTAAAATTAGCATATTTATAATTATAAATTTATAATTATTTAGTTCATTTTTTAAAAGCAGTTTGCCGCGGGAAATTAAGTAAATATAACCAACCAGAAGAAACTTTTGTAATCATCGAAAGCCAATAAGATTTTAGTGACGAGGACTCACCAATAATAAATCGGCCTACACCAAAACCGAAAAAAAAAACAAATTATACTCATTTCTTTTCTCTCTCTCTGGAAATGTTTTATTGAAGCCGACTGTCCTGGTTTACAAAGACCATTCGATGAAAATAAAATGCATAAATGAATATTTAGGTTTTAAATCTAACCTTGAAGTGGCAGAACTTCTATTTAAGTCCAGCCTTCCTTCCAACCACGTTTAGAGCACATTGAATAGCATTTCAGTAATTTATTGGCTTTCCTAACAGAGAAAAGCCCATTTTTAAACACGTATTTGCAACCTCTGATAACATTTCAAAACCACCATTTTTCTTGTTTACTTCCGGTGACATATGAAAGGCGTGTGATTAAGTGAGGGAAATTAGGAAAGAGTAAAGCTGAGCGAATGTTCTGCTCAAAGTTGGCTTAATGCAATTTCTCATTTCATAATTATTGCAAACGGCGGTTTCGGTACTTTATATAAACTTTCAAAGTAATCATAAATTCAGACAAAATATGGGAACGTTGAGATAGCGGGGATAATATCTTCAGACTCATTTGAGTCATTGCGATTTGAGTATGATTGTCTATACTCTGTCCTCAAATGTGTTTAGTTTGACTATCTAGTAGGATTTGAATGAAATAATGCACATCTAAGCATACTAGACCAAATCTGATACCTTTGGGGTTTTTTCGAGTAATTCTTAATACATTAAAATACTTAAATAGGTGTTTGAAATTTGGGGTGGGGGGGGGGGGGGGGAGAGATTTCAGAGTTTTGAACATTAGTACAAGGGATATGATACAATAAGCGATGCCATAGTCAATTCCAAATTCACGTAGACAGCTAGTCAGCTTGACTTTATCATCTTTTCAAACGTGATATTATTTCTCAAATTTTCTGAGTGCCAACACTGTGCGAAAACAGATAACAAGCATCATGCTCTGTGGTTAGAAAAAAGGTGCTTTTATCAAAGCTCCTCAGTTAACGGGAGTGTGAGGGATGATTGGGAAACAGCCTCCTATTATGAAAATCAAATTATTTCAACTATCCTTTTAAAAAGAGCATATAAACATGAAGTTATTTAACAAAATGGTTTATTTTAATTTCGCAAATTTAGTTAAGATAACTCCTGGAGTTTGTTTAACTTATTTCTATTATAGAGCCTCCAACCTTAATGGTTGCGTGATACTTCTTTGCATAGGTATGATAATATACATTCGCAGCTACCTATCTTCTCATTGGAATAACTAGAACAATGATCATACATGTTTTACTAAATTCGAAATGTCTATTCTAAAGTTTTTTGTCGGTAACAACTGTTTAAGGAGAATTATGTGCAATTGAAATAAATTCTTCCACTCTCTTATCAATTGTTACTCCGAGTGTTAATATAATCGACAGTTATTTTGGCAGTGTGGTGGTTGAGTTATGGATTAAGCATTACTGGGTGCATATAGAAATCACAAAGTTGCAAATCATCACTCGGGCACACTGATGGGTAAATAAAACTGTCATCGAAAGAGAAAGATTTTGATTTAAAACTTATATAATGAAGCGCTTTCTCGATTACTAGGAATAAATTGGTTTATTATCACAAATGTGTTTCAGAATATAGTGCATCAGTATGAGTTTTATCGAGAATTGAAGAAATAACAAGATTATTAAGTTAACCTATTTAGTCTACTTCTTTAACACATTGAACCACACCAAAATAATATAATTTGCTTTCATATTATAAAGGAATTATGAAGACGTATTAAGTATGATCCAAAAATTATCTGAAACATACGTACTGAATAGATAAGCAATACTTTCTGAACAACTAAAAAATAAAATTTTCTGAGCTAAAATTGAGATAGATTTGAGGAATATTAAAAGATTACTGGAAAGAGAAGAAATCATTGTCAATGAAACCAAATCAGAGAGTTTCATTTACCTTGCACCTCATAAATACAGTTACTGATATAAGAGGTACAATTAATAGTGCTTAATAAAATACAAACGTCAATAACGTTTCACCGAAAAATTCTAAAAAGTATGGACACATAAAAATATGAAGGACATTATTAACGTTCAAAAGTATATTCCGACTGGCGGTGGGCTTAAATTTTTCTCGGTGTTTGTACGTTTTGTTTGGAGTAAGGTGGTGATGTCGAGCAAGGGGGAGGACACAAATGAAGGGCCAAAAGTCAATCCATATAAGATGGGGACCTACGATATAGTGCGGATGAGGATAAATAAGCTCATGGAAAAACCTGTGAGTTCTTACCCATTATACTTTAATATGCTTTAAATGAATTCTACTAATAAATTTTCTTTAAGGATGTCCCTGTTGTCATCCCAGAATCTTCTAGAAAAAAAGAGCCTAAAGCCCCTCCTGAATTTGTTAGAAATGTATGGGGTAAGTTATAGATCTCTAATGACAATGTATGTTAAATTTTTGGTTCTGCGTACTATTAAATTACAGGTTCTGCTGCTGGTGTTGGCAGTGGAGATTTCCATATTTATCGTGGTATTCGTCGAAGGGAATATGCTCGCTTGGAATTCATTGAGCAAGAAGCCAAAGAGGTAGCTTATTTATTTCTTTTAATGTAACAATAAGTAGAAAGCCAAAGCTGATGCATTTATTGCCGAACACGAGGCGAAGAATCGTGCTCTTGAAGAAAAGCGAGCAAAGAAGCGATCTAAGAGGCAAAAGCGAAAGGAAGCTATGAAACGTAAGCGAAAAGGTAAGGTGATAGTCGTGGTGTATGTACTAATTTTAGAAGATGGTAAGCGAAAAGATTCTGATGAAAGCAATGATGAATCCGATCAAGAAGTAGAAGCACAATCCCCCCCACGTTGAACCGGTTTCAGAAAATACGCAAGGCGAACAGGAAGATGCTAACACCGATAAAGAGAAGTGAAGCGTATACATATGTAAATTTACTGTAAAGTTATTTAATTATATTTTCACATTTGATTTCCTGGTTCTTGTGATATTCATACTATTATCGGGCTCTGTTACTTGGGCTATTCATTTGTGCTTTGAGGCGTTTTGGTTTCCAGCATTTTATAATTTCATCAGTTTCTCTTCTTTTGTATTGGGCTTATTCAGTTTATGTTGTCATTTCAGTGAAAATCCATCTGGAATGTTGCAAATGAATTTTTCCAAGGTCATTGCTAAAACGGAGGACTAATCGTGGCCTTAATGCCTCCCATTTTCTATATCAGGCTAAATAAAATTGTCCGATGGTGAAACGAAGCAAGTCCTCTTAAAGTTGGAAGAGATCCTCGATACTTTACTGTTTAAGCATTGGACAACATCTCTTTCTGTGTCCCGCTGTCTATTGACCATCATAAAATTCTAAATTCGTTTTATCTAGTATAAACATCAATACAAGAAATGGTGCGATGGATATTTGTGGTCTCATGTCAATTTCCAATACCAAGGCGTCTCGAAACCTAGGATACCTATCGTGATCATTGGCCAGACAATTACTCAGGGCAGTTTGAAAGATTTCTTAAGATTCTAGGTGGAAACAATATCCGAATTTAAGGATCCATGACTTTCGCTAGCAAGTGTTGAATTAACTGTAAAACCTTTACTCAAGAAAAGTTAAAAGAATTTTTGCTGTCTATTGATAGAATTTGCGCCTTTATTGTGTTGCGATAAAATTGTGGACCGTTGAGTTTTATATTTTCAGGAATATATTTTGATGTTCTCTTAACCTAGTGTTATTGCTTAGAAAGAAGTATTGTGGCTATGGTAAGCTGTCTATAAAATAGAGAGGTCGATATGAATCCCCTGTTTTTATCTTTTTCAGATACTGTCTTATACATGAGTACTCATCTGTACAATGAATGCAAACTGTAGGAATAACTTTCTACGTTATATGTGAAGGTGTACTGAAACACATTTTAGTGCTAATCTTCCTGTTTATCTCACTACTTGGTTTCCAGACTATCTTCAATCTACCCTGTACTCATTTATATGTGTTAGGAAATATTAGTCTATGCTCATTGTATCTTTGGTTTCTGTGAATTAGCGATGAATGATCTGTAGAACTGTAGCGTTGTCTTATGCTGCCGCATATACTATCAGTTTGAATACACACAGTCGGCATTAAGTAGTGACACGCTTAGAACAGTTTTTATTTCAATTGATAGGATCCGGTTAGTTAGAAATTCACTTCAAACGGACCCTTTCTAATGGCATGCTGACACCCATTCGCTTTTCTCTCGAAACCAAGTTCGTTAAAATAGGTTTAGTCCGTCTTAACTGTAAGTAAGCTTGTAAACTTGCTGTAAGTGGTAATATCACTATCTTCGCCTGACGAACGTTTTATGACTACGTTAATTAACATTCAAGGAGGCCTATACTAAACCGTTCTAACTAACACGCTTACAGCTTCTAAGTGGTTACAGAGCCAGTTATATTAATTATTGAATAATATCTACAAATCCAGTTGATGAATATCCGGAAAAATATAAATATGAACCAGAAAAGGATATGGTCCTCCAGACAGTATCTTCAAACGATATTGCTGGAGAACAAACAGTTTGAATTATCTTATACAAATCGACTGCTTCAGAGGAATGCACTGATTACTAAGCATAGTCTTTATAATAGGTAGCTGGAAAGGTAACCTGTAGAATAAATTTAATCATCTCGCCTAAGCAATTAATCTTCAGTTTTCAAACTACATAATTGTTTGGAGCATATATTTATTATAATTAACCATTTGCCAGGACGAAGATTTTATTAGGTGATATTTTATCCGAACTTGGTCACTTTATAGAAATTTGAGACATTGTCGTTTTAGAAGCCGAACCAATAAAAGGCTTAATTAATATAACAAAAAACGTACTTGTCATTATCACCTAACAGTGGTGTCTTCCTATTTAATGACTTTGTATGGCCTATCATAAGAATGAAATACGATTTTAAAATTTATGCCCACACAAAAGTTTAGAAAACAAAGGCTGTTGTTTCCAATGCTACGAAAATAATAGCGTCTTGCTGTTTCTTGGGATTAAATCAACAAGTGTAAACATAAGCGTAAAAACTGTACCGACATAGAGTCGTAGTCTTAGGGCAGTATATGATTTTTTACATGAAATTAAATATTACTAATTTACTGTCTTGCAATAATCGCAAAATGTAACCTACATTCATGTCCAGTTAGCAGATTGGCTATATTCTAACCTTTGGTAGGTTAGCCTACTAGTCGGACTTGTGTTAATTTGTAATATTTACATTTGCTAAGGACTGATAATTTTGTTTCCAGATAACTATGCCACATTTGCTTAATCGCTCGGCTATTTTTCTTCGGTCTCCATTCTCGCGTATTGCAGCCACACCTCGTCACTTTTCAGATTTTGTGGTTCCCAAACGAGAAGGTGAAACAATCGCCACCAAAAGAAATCGTCTTCTCTACGAAAGCCGTAAGCGGGGTAACCTCGAAAATGGTATCATCCTTTCGTAAGTTTATATTTTTATTGTTTCCTTTTTTCTTGTTAGAATTTAACGAAGTTTGATAAATATTTTAGGTCATTTGCTGATAAGTATCTGGCCACAATGTCAATGGAGCAATTGGACAAATATGACCACTTAATCAACACTCCGGAGTGCGATTGGGATATCTTCTATTGGTCCACCGGTATGTTCCATTCCTTTAAATTTGTTAGGCATAAAATGACTGCAAGTTTTTTATTTTAAAGGTGAAAAGGAGGCTCCAGAGGAATATAATACCGATGTACTGAATATGCTCAAGAACCATGCCAAGAATTACGGCAGAGAGATGCGGAATAGACAGTCTAGTCCAACATTTTTCACTCAATAAACTCAATTTTGTTCATAAATTTGGGGGTTTGCTAGCAATTGTAGAATATTTCTTAAAGTATTAATTGATCATACTGTTAACTCAATTTTGCAATTCCTATTTGGTTTATTGCCTTCGCTTTTTATTTTTTATATGGAGAATACTAATTTTTATTTTCATTCGTTCGGGGGTGATTCAATAATGAAAAGTACACACTCAATGCCCAATATCTTATTCGAATTTTATCTTTTAGAATTAAAAAGAGACGAGTGTGGAACTAGTTGGAAGTTTTCTTTAAAGTAGCTTTTGTGTTCGCCGTTTAAGAATATTTTAAGTTCTATTGGTTCCAGTGACTACGTAGTTAAAGTTTATTTATTTATTTCAAATAGCAGGCGTTTTGATTGTTATTAGTCCTTTAACAGACTTCGAACTTTACAGAGGGGAGGAACATAATAATGAGAAAAATTCGAGTGAGGGGGAAGAAGAGTGATTTACAGATGTAAAGAGACAGATGGGCACAAACACAGAGAAGAAGTAAGTCGAGTACTGTTGAAGTGGTCGAATTTGACATATAGTGGGGTCATGCCGGTTTGAAGTCAGAAGTCAGCTGCTGATTAATAGACTTTTGCCGTATGGATATACGTTGCCCAGCGTGCATCACGTGGAGGTAAGTCTATCGGTAGTATGGTGGGTAAGTAAAGAGAATTGCAAAATTTTGTAAAATGCAGGTTTCCCATACTCTTGAAATTTCTGATGAAGCTGATACCAGAGGAGCTCTATGTAATTGTAATATCCATAGACGCTATATTCACCATCCTCGAGGTGTGCAAGGCTATTTCTTTGGCTAAAGAGTTGTAAGTCTTATAATTATTCGGCTCTGATGAAGTAAGTTTTTTGTGATTCCTTGTTACTTCTCTCTAAATACTTCCTCTTGAAAGGGAGCACGCTCTCTTAATCTAGCTACAATTTTCAAGTGTTTAATTGCTTAGCCCTGACCTGGGGGAATAAAAGTAAGGAGAGGTTGTGGCTATAACCCTACTAATGACGAATTTTCACAGGAAGTGATAGAGGTGAAAATTGTTGACTATCATTTATCAAATTTGATAAGGGAAAGTGCTCCGAGATAAAGTTCTGATGCACCTTTATTGAATTTTCTTAAGTTTAAAGCCATCGTATGGAACTCTAGAGCCTTTTGGAAGGTTCTGGCAAGAACCTGTCAGTCGGTGATCTACTTTATGAAGTATAACATAGCGTGGATTGTATCTAATGGCTAATCATATTGATATTTAGCCAAATTGTCACAAACACTCCACTCTATTTGCCCGCTATTGTTAATCTTGGGAGCAGGTTTGTACTAAAGAATCTTAATTAGAGGCTAGTTTTATTGGTATGGATCGAAACGGACATTCTAATTGATTTTTAAGTTCAGAATATGCCCCATTTAATCATAGCTGAAAAAAAGTGGTGGTAGAGGCGGTTCAAGGATGATATCACCTTATTGTGGTTTGATTTCGAAATCGTTAGGTTGTAGACGGATTCAGTGAACATCGTGGCGGCAAAATTTCCTACGCACGAGTAATCACAATCATTGATCCGAGAAGGGAGTCAACCAATTGATGGATTGTCCATTTATGGCAAGTAGTTCTTCAGTGCCCGATGAAACCGAAAGGTAAGGTAGACGATTGCAAAAATCTTCCACAAAGTTTAACTGTGGTTGGTATTTTAGTACCTGTCTCTCAAAAGATCTGCCGGAGACAACAATTTTTTAGGAAACTTAATTGAATAAAAACCCGTCGAGATATTCGGCCTTGCCTTTTTCATTTGACTTACAAGATTTCTAAGACCGCCCTTTTAAACCGGCATATTTAACTACATTTCCCTATCAGTGTATAGGCCTATCATTATCCATCAAATGTTGCTCTAAACAGCCTTTATAAACTTTCAGCTTAGGATGAACAATAGTAGACTTAGCATAGAACAAATAAACTCCACTGCAATTCCGGAGGTCTTAGGTGAAATCTTAATCGAAAGTAATTTTTGCCTTAGCCACGTTCGTTGCCTCTTGGCCTTCCTGATGTGCATTATTGCAATGTCATCAGCCAGACCTTTATCGTTAACTGGAGAGGTGGGGAATTCATTGGAACTCACCTGATTAACCTTTTTTTATAATATATTTAAGGAGAGAAGATAAGTTACTTTTTGGGTCGATGTATCATCCGTAACCTGCAATTAAGGTGTCATTTAGTCTTCAAAATATCCCAATAACCACTAGCACTTGACTTCATCCAACGTAACTTGAAATATTACGCTGAAGGCCATTGGTTGTTAAAACACTTGGCCGTACTTTATGGCAACTGTCTTGCACACAACCTTAGTAGAACTGCGGAAAAGGTGAACGAATCAAGGACTTCTCTCATACCAGTAAAAATAAAATGTGTTCTACATCGGTCATCGATGAATTTTTGAGTCACTTTTCTTACATCAAGTAGACCTTCAAGCAGGAATTCATGTTGGATGCTTGCTAAGCGTCTTCAAGCACAAAAACTCCTACGAATATTTAACTAGAACGTTTACCCACTGTATAAAGATAGAAGATAGACGAAATTTTGTTAGCTATGAGTTAATAGAATATAGCAAAGAAGGAACTCCAGCCATTAAGTGGGACTCCCTTACAACCGTCAGATTGGAGACGAAGTCACATTGATGAAAGGGAAGATTAATTAAAATAGCTAGAAAGGATATTACAGATTTAAACTTCGAAGCAGGAACCAAATTGATGAATTAATTGTTAACCTCAGAAAAAAATTAATTTTAAGGCGGAATTCATGTAGGAGGGTAGCTAATGAGCTGAAATCAAGAACTTTCACTTTCGGGAAAACTTAAACGCTTATCCTCTTGGGTATTTTGGCTGGAATGCAGGTTTGTTTAAATATCAAATTAGAGAGAATTATGCGAGTTTAATCGATTCCATTTCTGGCCGAATTTCAAAAGCCCCCAAAATGCCATATTTGTGTAGGGGCTTCCAATATATTATATTTATACCAAATGGCAGGCGTTTTGATAGTTATTATTAGCCCTTTAGTTGACTTCAGGCTTCACAGAGGGGAAGGAACATCAAAGTGACAAAAAGTCGAAAGGGGAGGGGGAACAGTAGAGTGGTTCAAAGATGTAAAAGACAGACAGACACAAAGGCAGAGAAAAGGCTAGATGGGTACTGTGGAAGTAGTTGAATATGACATACAATGGGGCCACAGTAGTTTGAAGTCGGAAGTCAACAGCCGGATTACACACTTTTTGCCGTATGAGTATACGTTGCCCAGGGTGCACCACGTGGAGACAAGTCTATCGCACACCCCAGGGTTCCAATATATGTAGGACCCGGACTGTTGAAGGCTTAACTTGCTCTTCTTTATCTTACTTCTACGAGGATTCTCAAAAACTTTTCCTTATTTGCTTATTAAATTGATTAAATCCTGTGTCACATCCTGATTGTTTGTTTATTTTTAAAAGTTTCGTTTTCCTCGGACAAGCGCTAAAAGTTTAATAGGCGGGAGTGGGGGGGGGGGCGTGAGAAGACGGTACAGCTGCTAAGCTAGTAGATAGCCTTCTATACTCGTTCGGTGGGTGAAATGGTCGTGCGTACTAGGTGAAAAGATTTAATAAGATGAGAAGTATCCAAAATGAAATTCCTTAGCGAAAATGCTTTTTAACGCAACCTCTGCTCTCAAAAGTAGTTTGGCCGTAATTGAGGTCACGGATATCTTCTGAAAGGTTAGATGAAACGTGCATGTGCACTGAGACTAATCGATCATTAGTAAATAATAAGCATTCATTTTTCAATGAATAACTAGTATCAGAGGAAATTTAAATATTGATTAATAATGTATTCCACAGAAGGCATAAAGGCTGATTTAAGATGCACTCTTAATACACATATTTCATAAAAGCACTGGCTCAATTCGGTTGGAATAGTTTTCTTCAATCTTTAAAATTATTGGTATTATAATAGCTTTTATAATAATAATATAAAGTCTACAAAAAGAACGGGGTTTAGCTCAGGAGTTGGATAAAGAATAGGGAAGAATATGGGGGAGTTTAAAATCTTGAGGAATTAAAATCGATGAATAAACAGCGATATTTTTTTCAATATTTGTCGAATCAATTGACCATTTCCGATTCCATAAATATCATTACAAGTTAGCATTATGAAAGGACATAAACCAATTCCTCTGTAATTGGCAGATTTGACAATAATGCTTATTACAAAGGAAAACTGAGTCAAAAGGAATTAAGAATTAAATATCAGCTTATGACCTAAAATGCATCTAGACTTATAATCAGTCAAAAGACTTTGAGAAGACAAGTTACATGTTTCCTACTTATTTATTTTAGAATTCTATTCGAACTTACCATTGCTATTTTTAATTTGCAAGAAATGTTCAACGGTTGTACCATATCTCATTGCCGCAAATCTCCCAGACCATCCAGACTCGAGATTGAAGTTTGCCAATGGAAGAGACAGGAGATGAGATTACACTTCCGTTTTCTTTTAAAGCGAATGAGGTTATATCAGTCTTGAGCACAAAAGTCTGAGATCGGTTAAAAAGTACCACAAAAGCTCCCAGTCATGATGACAGCTAATTTCTTGACATGTTTCGGTTTCCTAACAATTAACTTCAGATGGCATATCAAGATAATTTATTCTTGTGTGCAGATTTATGTTGTTTTTGGGAGGAGGATGAAGAGTTCATTGGGCTAATTGATAAGTGCGTTTTGTTTACAAATCAGTGACAAAGTCAACACTTTTGATGAGTTTGGGCATGCATTGCAATTAGCAATGTAAATGTATATATTATTTAAACATCCCAAAACTGTTAGTGAAATTTTTCATAAAACAGATATCTAACTTTTTCCACATTGAATGTAGATAAATATGAGGATAAATTGTGCAATTGAGCTCAACAAGCTCTATTTTAAGGGTTGAGTTGAAAAATGAGTCATTGAATTATTGGGATACAATC